ACTGTCCTATTCACCGTCAAGCTCAGTATAAGTAGCAGCCAACTGCAGATTAGCTCATGCCAGTGTCCTTGGCAGGACACAGGTAGCGGCTGACCTTGGCCTGTATAACCAGGGAGGCCCTAGAGCCAGCACACCTTCTGGACAGCTTCAGGTCACAACAAAGCACCTCCGAACCACCTCCACAAGCAACACACTTAAGAGACAGACTCAGCAGGCACCGCAAGTCCCTGTGAAGTAAGTCATGCTCGATGGTGTGGGTCCCTGCATGGCTGATCCTCCACTGTGGTTACAGCCAGTCCTTTCAGCCAATCGGCCAGAGAGTAAATCCCTCCCATGGATGTGTCAACAGCAGTTAATGATCAACTATAACAGGAAGATGTACAGCCCACACCAGGGGGTGGGAGTGGGGTGCACCTGGGGTGCTCAGCTCGAATAATCATGGAAGCTGCGCCACAGGACCCTATAGGACACCTCTACCAAGCCTGGGTGACACAGCAGCTTTACCTAATACATAGAAACAAACACAGGGAGGCTGCCAAAATGAGGAGACAAACATCTCAAAAGAAAGAACAGAACAGAACTCTAGAAAAAGAACTAAACAAAATGGAGACATGCAGTTTACCAGATGCAGAGCTTAAAGCACTGGTTATAAGGTTGCTCAATGAACTTAGGGGAAGAGGAGATGAACTTCAACAAAGAGAGAGGAAACATAAAAAGAGAACTAGAAAACATAACGAGTCATAAATGAAGAATATGCTAATAGAAATGAAGACTACATTACAGGGAGTTAGCAGAGGAGTAGAAGAAGTAGAGGATCAAGTCAGAGATTTGGAAGATAAGGAAGCAGAAAACACCCTATCAGAACAGCAAGAAAAAAATAATAATACAAATATATGAGGATAGTATAAAGAGCCTCTGAGACAACTTCAAGTGTACCATTATTCATGGGGGTGCCAGAAGGAGAAGAAAGAGAGGAAGGAATTAAAAACCTATGTGAAAAAATAATGGAAAACTTCCCTAACCAGGTGAAGGGAATAGACATAAAAGTCCAGGAGAGATGAAGTTGTGACTAACTCTTGCCCCTTAGAAATGAAGGGTGTTTGAGAAATAGAGGTGAAGGATGCACAGGTCAGGCTCCTCCCAGGGTTGGCTGACCTTATATTTTATTTGCCTCCCATTGCAGTTCCTGAGCTGGAAGCTCAGCTGCATCAGAGGATTTGTCTGCAGTAAAGTGAACCACAGACGCTTTTGTTGTCACAGGACCATCACAATGCAAAACATACAGCAGGATCGCAATGCAAGTGACCTTCTCACGGGGATGACCCAGCATCTCGAAGGAGGTAGTGATTGGAACAGTCACAGCCCTCACTGGCAGCACTGTCCTCCCTGCAGAGGGAATGATCTGAGCAAAGGGGGGAAGAATGCACAGCCCAGCTGGGTGTTAGTGGCAGTGAGTGCATTAGGCTCCATGCTGCGTCACCCACAGGGCTTTCAGCACTCCTGCCCCTTCAGCTCGAGTCCCCCACTAAAGGAGGAGCTATCAGCCCAACTAGCATGGCTCAGTGGTAGAGCGTCGATTTATGGACTAGGAGGTCACGGTTCGATTGCCAACCGGTCAGGGCACATGCTGGAGTTGCAGGCTCAACCCCCCGTAGGGAACGTGCATGAGGCAGCTGATCATTGACTCTCTCTCATCATTGATGTTTACATCTCTCTCCTTCTCCTTTCCTCTCTGAAATCAATAATAATAATAATAATAATAATAAATAAGCTATCACCCATGCCAGAGGAGGGGAAAAAAGGACCTGCTCGTAAATGTCTACCAATGATCACTATCTTCTGCCAACCAAGAAAGAAAAAATTCCCATTGAAAAATGATTGTGCCTTCACATACTATCCTAAGAATTGAGCTTTGTGAAAAGGAGATTTTCTCTAAGATTTGACTCCCCTGTCCCAGCCAGGGTGCAAATACAGCTAACCCACAGGCACCTTGCACATGCTCTGGGACAAAAAACCAGGAAATGCAAAGCTCCTTCTCTTGTAGCTGCAACGCTAGTGCAGGGTTTAACTGGTACAAGTAACAGCCTGCAGTCATTTACTATGAGACATGAGAGATCATGGACTCTCAGCCCTCTTCTTCCCGTCTCCTCTACTTCCATCACCTATTGAGTCCAACAGTCTGCTTCCTGGTAGGTAAACTGAGGCAACAAAGGAAAGAGAGCAAGTCTCAACTATCCTACTGGAAAATAGCAGTTTTGGTCAAAGTTGGATGATGTGTGATTGAAAACGACTGAAACGAGCTCAGACATCATCTGTGGGTGCAGCTGTTCCCCGTCCCTCTCTCCTGACAAGAAGCTGTTACTTTCATGTGATGCCTGTACAAATGCCACAGGGATGCCAAAAATCTGACCCATCACCGGGTTACATCCATCGGGAATGTGAAACATGAAACAAGGAGGCTCTTCGTGATGGTGGTAAAGAGAGAGTCCTGGTGGTGAACCCAGTGCGTCTACCCTATCACAAAGGAGCACGAGTGACCTCAGCCCTCTCCCTCTCCCAAGTGAGGAGGGGCCTGTCTGGGACCTGCGCCCCCACCTCTCCCCCCGGCCTCATCACTCAGCTGCATTCCCCACACTTCTGACTTTATTCTCAACACAGCTGTGATCTTTACACCTCACAGTAACCAAGTCAGAATGTCTCTCTGGCTCGACTGGAGTCACGCCTAAAAAACTCACTCCCACTAGAAGGGCACTGGCTCGAACTTAGGGAGCAGTCACAGTTTCTCATGTAGACCCCTCTGCCTTTTTTTGCTATTATGCAATGAAACTACTATTTATACCAGACACTCCTTACTAAACTATGGAGGATCTTGCCATCTTTGTTGATAAGGCGAGAACTATCTGACATTCTGACAGCTCCATGTATCCCCCAGTTCCCAGCACAGACTAGTATTCAATCAACACTCACGACAATTCTGATGGTTAATTTTATGTGCTAACTAGAGGCCCGGTGCACAAATTTGTGCATGGGTGGGGTCCGGCCAACCCACCCCAATTGGGGCTGATTGGGCCAGGCTGGCAGGGGGTGGGGCCGTGGGCAGTTGGTGGGCAGGTCCTGCCCCCTATCGGGCTGGGGGTGGGGCCGATCAGTGGCAGAGCTGGCCAGAGAGAGGGGCCACGGGCGGTTGGCCGGCTGGCCCCACCCCCTGGTCGAACTCCCGGTTGAATTCCCAGTCAAGGGGACAATTTGCATATTAGCCTTTTATTATATAGGATGGTACCCAGGTACATGGTCAAACACAGATGCGTTGTCACATACTCAGCTGGATGTTGCTATGAAAGGTATTTTTAGATGAGGTTGATATTTAAATCAGGAGCTTAGGGAGAGCAATCAAGTTGCCTTCAGGGTGGAGGGTGCCCTTCTCGACTCAGGCCTTCCTTTTCCAGCCAGTGTGCCCCTCCCAGTCACACTGCTGGGCAGCGTGGGCTCTTCTCAGTCAGCAGCAGGAGAAGCTGCTGAGTGACCTGCCAGTTGGCATTATGCTCTGGTGGAACGAGGCAGATCTGAAGGTTGCTTTTTTTTTTTTAATATATTTTATTGATTTTTAACAGAGAGGAAGGGAGAGAGATAGTTAGAAACATCGATGAGAGAGAAACATCAATCAGCTGCCTCCTGCACATCTCTTACTGGGGATGTGCCCGCAACCCAGGTACATGCCTTTGACCGGAATCGAACCTGGGACCTTTCAGTTCGCAGGTCGACGCTCTATCCACTGAGCCAAACCGGTTTCAGCTGAAGGTTACTTTAAACAAATTCAATTTTCTTATATGTAAAATAGTAATAGTCATATCAGCCATCTTCGTAACACACAACTCTCAAACTGGATTCCTAAGTTCAAGGTTCTCATTGGCTCCCTTGCCATCTGCCAAAGTCTATCAGACCCCTGGCCAACATCCAGAGCCCTGCACGCATGGCCAGGACTCCTGGTCCAGTTTCCCCTCACACTATACCCCTGAAAATATTCATGTTTCAGGGCCTTGAGTGAGTCACGATCCCCCAAAGCTGTCACATTATGCCTCATCTCACATGATCTTTCTCCATCTGGAACTCCTCCATCGTCAACTGTCAAGATTATGCCACGCCCAGAACAAGGCGAGGCATAGCACTGTCCCGAGCATCCTTGCCGAGGAGGTCAACCTGCAAGGCCAACCCCCCCTGACCCTGAGCCACATTGGGGCTAGTCACGTAGACAGTGAAGTCGGTCAAGGTGGCCGCAGCGAGACCACGGTGCGCCCGCACGGAGCATGGGCTGTTTGTTCTCACTGCTCAGAGCGCCGAGCTCTTGACCAGAGAACCCTTAGTGGCACAGCTCCACGCAGCTTGGGGACAGGGAACCTGTGCCACCAGGCTGATGCTCCAACTCTCTGCTGTGCCGGGACAACTGCTTTGCTCTGGTCGGTTGAGAAATGTGTCTACTTTCGCTCCTATGGAGCTGTGTCAAGACGGCCTGGTGCTTGCTGAGCCCTCTCCTTCAGAGTCTGGTTACCCTTTGCTATTTTCTAGGTGGCTGGGTTCTTCCCTGACAGTCTTCTTCAGAAAAGGGCCCCCTGGAATTTCAAGAGGCCATAGATGGCTGGCCTGCTAAGCCCTGTGTCTTCTCAACCACGTACTGTGGTTATCTGGGTAGTTCCCATGTCTTCCTACAAGAGCCACGCTCCCTGAAGGGAAGAATCAGGTGATAATAGAGATGAGTTCTACATGTAAGTACTCAATCAGTAAATGAACAGCTGAATGAGTGAATGAGGAGAGGCCCAAAGATTTCTTGGAATGTTGTGACGTTCAGTAACCTCCAATTTTATGACATTCTTCATAACCCACTAAAAGGTGTCTTGTCTAACTCAGTAACACCTGGCATTCTCACAGCAAAACAAAAGCTTCTAAAACAGTTCTAAACCAGTGAATCCGAGGAGACAGCGCACTCTGCCAGCGCTCAGACTTACGGAAGCACCCGCACTCTGCCACACGTGAGATATCCAGTAGCCCACCAGGTCCCCATCCTGCCGCTCAATTGGAGGCTCGATCCATCTGACGTCCACCTTGTTACTAGATTCATTCAGAAATACAGTGACGTTCAAAGGTGATACCGATGGGGCTAAAAAGGACAAGGAGAGAAGGATGAAGAACCACAAAGAAAAGCACACAGATACTCATTCTCTTTTTGGTTTCTGAATGTTTGATGTTCGCATGTTCTAGGAAAGCACTCACATGAGACTGAGACAAAGAGCAGATGTCCACCCTCTTCTCCATGAAGGACCATTGCGATAGTACATGAGTTTAAAAAGTCAGACCTTTCTAAACTAAAAGAATAAGGAAGAGGAAGGCAGGGAAGATGGTGAGAGGCGCTCAAGGACTCTGCCCGGGGAAGCAAAGCAGACACACAGTCACACTTGATCGGGGTTCTCCAACAGAAGCCTATGGGGCAGAAGGTCAACCGACCGTCTGGAGATCAGGTCTGGGTCCGAGAGACGTAAAGGGCAGGGAACTCAGCACAGCTGCAGTGACTGAGGGGCTGAACAGAACTAACCGATCAGGAAATCACTTTATGTGTCAGACACTTCATTATTGGAGGTCAGAGGGTCAAATGTTAATTACTGGACTAGGTGTAAAATGTAGCACTTAGCACTGGTCTTCATTCTCTGTTTCATAGTAAATTCTGCTAAGTCATACACCCACTTTATATCAAAACTAGAGGCCCAGTGCACAAAATTCGTGCATGGTGGGAGGGTGTCTCTCAGCCTGGCCTGCACCCTCTCCAATCTGGGACCCCTTGGGGGATGTCTGACTACAGGTCCCTCTCACAATTCAGGACCACTGGCTCCTAAAGGCTCGCCTGCTTGCCTGCCTGACTGCCCCTAACCGCTTCTGCCTGCTGCCTGATCCCCCACAACTGCCCTCCCCTGCCGCGACCCGCCTTCTCTGCTGGAACCTGCCTCCTCCATGTGAGGCAGCGGAGATGCTGGGACCGGTCTCCTCCACGCTGCGCAGAGCCGCGGGACCCCCAGACCTCCATCTATTAAAACTGAAAATATGTTCTTTGACCAAGTATTTTATTTCCAGAAATTTAATCTACAAAAATTCTCCTGTGGGTGGTATTATATTCATTGAAACAAAATAGAAACAAAAAGGAATAAATATAATGCTAATTGTGATATAAGAAACTTTGACACATTTTCCAATGGAATCTGGTCAGCAAAAACAAATTAGGTAGAGCACATGTATTGATATGAAAAAACATCTAATGGAGATAAAGATCAAATTGCCAACAAGTATGCATTACTGATCCATTTTAGAAATTTAAAAAGTGTTTTATTTAGAGAGAAAGTATAAAGACAATTAAATAATATAGACCCAAACTGCCTGTACTAGTACTTAGGGGAGATTAAATAATATATTTCTGATACATCTGACAAGAAAACAAAAGGGTACTGTAACCTTACTCGCCTCTGCTGATTCCAGGAGCAGTTAGAAGGCATTTCAGCACAGGACATGTCATACAGCTGAGCTGTGCCTAGGAAATGAGTCACATACTTTCAAATCTGCTGTAGGATTTATGGATAAACATTGCCCACTCAACTTGTCTTTATACCTGCTCCCTCCGAAGGAAGGAAGTTAAAACAGTATAAACTCATAAGGTAAAGAGAAGTCAACAGGAGAAGAGAAGTCTTAACATATATTGGACAGACGAAAAAGAGACAAAGAAGGTGTAATGAACTCAGCAAGCTGATTCTCCCAAAAGCACCTGGAGAGGCTCAGAAGCTGTGGGCCCAGGTATTAAAACTGGAAGATTGAAAGTTTGATTAGGAAGAACTTAGCCCTTGTCACTCCTCTAACTTATTCCCACACACCTGGCAGGAACTCCCCCCAAATCCCACAGAAGACAGGACACCTTATTCTATGAACTGAAAAGCCTCTTCTGGACTACGGGCACCAGTAGAATGAAGCACCAAGAGAGGCCAGACTGACAAGTGGGGAAAAATAAGTGGAAGTCTGTGCCCTGAATGAGGAAGACTCCACCTCACCTGGCTGCTAGAATATCGGCAGCCATGTTTCTATTCATGAGGCAGCAAACAGGAGACTTCTTTTCTAGAGAAAGTGAGCAGTCCCAGAGGAAAGAAAAGCAATATTGATACCTGGGAGCATGCTAACCTAAACACTTAAGGTCACCAACCAATCACCTGACAGAGACGTCCATAAACCCCACCTACACTTAGTGTCCAATCAAATTGCTGGTTCTCTACTCTTAGAAGGAGTGGACAGTGGGGGATCAGGAGAGGTCAGGGAAGCCTCCTTCCTGAATGTCCAGGCAAACAACACACAGGACAGAGAGCACATAAAGGAGATAGAGACATTCTAGGGGACTAGAGAAAACTACAACAACAAACAACCTGATAATTAATATGCCCAAAGGTAGGTAAAGGCTCGCATACTTGAGAACTGAAAAAAAGAATTGTCAATGAAATAGAAAGTTCTTGAAATTAGCAATGTGAGAAAAAAATTAAATGTTTAATAAAAGAATTAGAAGAGAAATCAAGTAAGCCTCCATAACTGTAGACTAAAAATTAAAGAAAGAAGGTCAACTTGAGCAAAGAAAATTAAGGCAGCAAAGGGGTCCAACAACTATCTAATACAACTATCTAATTACACAATTTAATACAATAGAAAAATAGAAGGAGATTTTCAAAGAAAAAATGTATAAGAAAAAGTCTCAAGCCTGGCCGGTGTGGCTCAGTAGTATAGCTTTTACCTATGAACCAGGAGGTCACAGTTCGATTCCCAGTCAGGGCACAAGCCCCGGTTGTGGGCTCAATCCCCAGTGGGGGTCGTGCAGGAGGCAGCCAATCAATGATTCTCTCTCATCACTGATGTTTCTCTCTATTCCTCTCCCTTCCTCTCTGAAGTCAATAAAAAAATATATTTTAAAAGTCTCAAAACCAAAGCACTTGCATTTCTAGATCAAAAGAACCACTGAATGGTGGTTGATAAACAAATGATGACAAATTCCACATCATAGCCCATCACAGCACCACGATCAGAGAGAGAAATTACTTTAAAAATCAAACTAAGTAACAGTTCAAATAGAAAACTCAAGTATCAGAATTCTCCATAATAACTCATGAACCTAAAAAACAATGCAGATGTACTTTTTAAAATTTGAGGAAGAATAATTTACAACATAAAATTCTATATTAGGAAAAATTATCAATTCAGTATGACATAAAGACATGCAAGTTCCCATAGTTTTTTTGTTTGTTTGTTTTTTAAACTAAGGCTCCGGAAAGTGATTTGACAAAGAGCTAGGAGTTAGAAGAGGTGGGATTTAATATATATTTTTAATGGATTTTTTACAGAGAGGAACGGAGAGGGATAGAAAGTTAGAAATATCGATGAGAGAGAAACATCCATCAGCTGCCTCCTGCACACCTCCCACTGGGGATGTGCCCGCAACCAAGGTACATGCCCTTGACCGGAATCGAACGTGGGACCTTTCAGTCTGCAGGCCGACGCTCTATCCGCTGAGCCAGACCGGTTAGGGCCCCATAGTCTTAATATTTTACATATTCTCCCTGAAGCTAATGGACAATGTGCTCCATGAAAATGAGGGAGTAAACCAAGAAAGACAAATGCCCAAGAGAAGGCCATGGAGTCACTATGATGCTCTGGATGGAGACAGGAAAAGAAATACATGGGAGAATTAAGGATAACAGTGCCTGGGCCTCCCTCAGGGCTAGGAACACTGTCTATTCTCAGCTGTCAGACTGGAAAACCTAATGGTACCAGGATCACTAGGCACAGTACACATAACCGTCTTGTCTCAATAGTGATTAGTAATTGACTGAGCACTTTCCCTGTCCCGCCTCACAAATTTTAAAAGATCCAAGAGGATCGGTCTTTTCCCAATACATTAACAATGTCCCAAAACAAAGTTCAATACTTATAGGAATACAGAAATATCTAGCATCCCCCAAGGTTAAATAAATTCATAATGTTGGGAATGCAACCAAAGACTACCAGCTACACAAAGAAACTGCAAAGTCTTCTACATAGCAGGAATATAAATAAATCAAAACTGCCCTAGAAATAACAGATATTAGAATTAGCGAGGACATTAAAACAGTCGTAACTGCATTCCACATGGTCCAAGTAAAAAAATTACACCGAAGCACACCACAATTAAATTGCTCAAAGTCAACGATAAAGGGCAAACTGAAGACAAAATACATGCAGATACATTACATACAGAGGAACAAATATAGACTGTAGATTCCTTATCAGAAATAACTCAAGAAAGAAGACAGTGACACAACATTTTTAAAGTAATGAAAGTAAGAATTATGTGAACCTAGACTTCCATATCTAATAAAACTATCAGAAAGAAAGGCAAAATAAATATATTAAAAAGTAAAAATAAAGATTTTTCTCAGACATACAGAAGCTCAAGTCCTCACCAGATATGTACTACAAGAAATGATGAAGGCCTTTAAGATGGAACATGATATTGAATGAAAATGTGGACCTACACCAAAAAATGAATAAAATCAGAAATGGTTACTTTATGGATAATTACATATATTTTTATAATTATATAAGTCACCCTAATTACTGATTGTCTGAACAAAAGTAATAACAATGTAGTATGAATTTATAACATATTTTGTAAAAGTAAGATAACAACAATTGTGCAAATATTGGACAATCAAATGGAAGTATTCTATTTGAAGGTTCCTACATGACCCATGAAGTGGTATAGCATTTTAGAAGGTAAACAGAGTAAGTTAAACATGTACACTATTAACCCTAAAGCAACCACAAACACAAAACAGAAAACAAGAGTTATAGCTAATAAGCAAACAAAAGAGAGAAAATAAAATAAAAATATTCAATTAACCCAAAAGAAGAAAAGGAGGGCTACAGACAGAAAAATAAAAATGTGATATTTAAACTCAACCTTTTAAACCTAAAGTTTAAAGATGTAAATGAAATTTGCTGTAAGCAAGATAATACGACTATCACATTACATTTTAATGAGTTAAATACCCCAATTTAAATGCAGATATTTGAATGAATTAAAAAGCAAGACCAAAGTTTATGCTCCCTAAAGGAAACACACTTTGAATATAAAGATAAACCTGCTAGAACTGCATATTGAAAGAGATAAATCCACAAGTATAACTGCAGATTATCAATGCTTCTTTCTAAATAATGGATAGAAATAGGTACTATTTGAAAAACATGATCAATCAACTTCAGCAAGCTGATGTTTATAGAATATACCATCTAATAAAAAACAGAATACACATTCTCTTCAAGTGCACACCAAACATTAATAAAGACAGACCATATTATGGACCATAAAACAAGTCTCAATAATTTTATTTTATTATTTTATTTTATTATTTTTTTTAAATATATTTTATTGATTTTTTACAGAGAGGAAGGGAGAGAGATAGAGAGTTAGAAACATCGATGAGAGAGAAACATCGATTAGCTGCCTCCTGCACATCTCCTACTGGGGATGTGCCTGAAACCCAGGTACATGCCCTTGACCGGAATCGAACCTGGGACCTTTCAGTCCGCAGGCCGACGCTCTATCCACTGAGCCAAACCGCTTTCGGCGAGTCTCAATAATTTTAAAAAGATTCAGGTGATACAAATTATGTTCTCTGTCTCCAACAGAAAGAAATTAGAAATCAGTACACAGATCTCCAGAAACTCCCTCCCTCCAAATATTTGGAAACTAAGTTATACACCTAAATAACTAATGGGTCAAAGAAGAAATCAGAAAGTATACTGAACTCAAGGAAAGTAGAACACAGCATATAAATATTGTTCTCAAAGGTTTTTCTTCCTCATTTGAGAAAAGGAGGTATTTCACAATTTTGGCACTAGAGTTTCATCTGTGCAAGGATTAAGCCCTAACGGTTTCTGATTTGGACCCGTTGCACTGTCTGTATTAAGACTATACCACTGATGGTATAAGGCTGGCGTTAAGGGCCCATAAGAGGTTCTGAGTGGTCATTCTGAGCTCTAACTGGGAAAGAATGAAAATTGTGTGACTCGAATTTAACAGATTTCATTATTCATAGGAAAGGAAAAAAAAAAACCTCGGAATTCAAAAGCACACAAAAAATTCTTTAAAGTTTAAAGATGTAACGAGTAAGATAACAGAGGTAACAGTATCTACTCCCTAGGGCTCCTATGAGGATTGAATGGATAACTCGCGTCAGGCATCTAATATAGTCCCTGGCACATAGGGTATGGGGAACATTAGGCATCTTCAAATTCATTAGTTTTCTTGAGTTTGATGCTATGAGTAGTAACGCATTATATTATTATATCTTAATTAAAAATAACATACGCTATAAAGAGTGTGCTGCTATTACCTTTTTATGCAAAAGAAAATATTACTTATATGTAGTTTCTAAGTTTCGTTCCCATTTTCACTGGCCACCTCCATAAAATTCTCCTCCAGAGACAAAGATCCAAAAAACAAAATTTAAACTCCAAATCAGGCTACTGGGACTTAATCACATGCCAGGAGAATATTCTGAACACCAGGAATTACCTTTTTCGGACGTGCTGGCCAGGATCCAAGGGCTCCGGGCGGACCAGCCAATCTCATTCCTGCAGGACACACTGATGCTGTAGTTAGCCAGAGCTCGCAGCTGTTCGACTTGATACAGAGGTGGAGAAGCAGAGGTGTTAAAATTCATGACGGAGCCATTACTCAGAGGACCCACTTCCTTGACCTGAATGAAAAGTGAAGATGTGGACCCGGCGTTAGTAAAGTGGCGGGAATGTCAGACGTGGGCTCTCAGGCATCCTGCGCACGTGGCCCGTCCTCTCCACGGAAGGAAGTACCTGCTTCCTTCCAGGCCACACACCCGCATTACTGAGTGTTACTCATGCCGCAGGAGCAACAATTGAGGACCCGAGGAAAAGGCCTGAAATAAGTGTTCTCGTTGGGGTAGGGGACAGAGCAAATGATCACCACTGTATTACAATTGTTATAACACATTATAAAATAGCCCTTCCTCTCTCAGGACCGCCTCAAGTCTCCATTTCTTTCAGCTGTTTCACAGAATATGCAACAAAGTCAACTGAAACAGGGTGGCAAAGCCTAAAATATAGGGTGTCCCAAAAAATGTATAGACAGGGAATAGTAATAAAGGCGGTGTTTATTAAAATACATTTCATGTTCAAAATTGAGCTATCCGCTGTGTATATACATTTTTGTGGGGACACCCTGTATTTACTATCTAGTTCTAGACTCTTAAAGAAAACCTTTCCAAAATCCTACGTTGGAAGATGGGATACTGGAGTTTGTTTTAATCTGTTTTTCTTTTCATTGTGCAACCTGAGGACCCTCTGCTCTTCTTTGAAGAACATTTTAGTGTTGTCCATTGTTCTTAATTTTTTAAAAAGATTTTTAAAATTGATTTTTAGAGAGAAAGGAAGGGAGAGAAACATCATGTGAGAGTGAAACATCAATCAGTTGTCTCCTGCACACCCCGCTACCGGGGGAACCTGCCTGCGACCCATGCACGTGCCCTGACCAGGAACCAAACTGGCAACCTTTCGGTGCATGGGACGACGACGCCCAACCAACTGAGCCACACTAGCCAGGACACGTTGTCCATTATTCCCCCTCTCATTACACTCCAATATAAATCTGTTCCAAAGGCATACACAGGTAATTCAGATTTTATGACATTTCTTAGTGGGGAGACATAGGAAAGGGTCATTTGCACCTCACCCACCAAACTTCTCTAAAGCTCTTTACAACATCAGCTCTTTCTGAGTTCCTTCTCTTCATCCTTCATAAACCCACCAGTCTCTCCACATCCCTCTCCAGGCATCCTCTGTAAGCACAGGCAGGAGAGGGTGATCCCAGCAAAAACCTCCCCCTTGTCCAGTAGGCACACCTCCTATCTGTGAGGGAGGATGTGTGAGAGTGGGTATCTTTTCACTGCACATTTTTCAAAACTTCTATGACACGGAGTACTTATAAATCAGAAAAGACAAAATGATAGTAAATTTTAAAAAGAAGTAACCAAGAGCAATTTGGGGGGAATAGCTTAAACCCTGTATCCAATTCCTCATAATAATGGGCTAAGAACTGGAGACTCCACTGGTCGACAAGAAGCTCCAGTTGGCCTGAGGAGCCCCCAGGGGAAATTCAGTGAGCTACATGTTCCTCTGGGTCCTGGCTGTTGGCAGAAGTCACTCTGTTCCTTCACTTTAGAGTATGCACCTCCTTCAACCCTGGAGACCAAGGTGGAGGCAGCCTGTGGCTCTCCATCCACCATTTGGGGAGCAACGTGTGGAGCATTTCCAGGCACAAGACGCACTTTGAGAGCCGTTCCTGGAAGAGGATGGGGTTTCCATAACAGGCCTTCTCGGTGGGTCCTGGGGGAAAAGAGGGAATGAGATGGCAAGAAGCACATGGGACAGTTAAAAATAGACCTGGAGTATGCAGCCCAAAAATGGGTGAAGAAAGGAATTCATGTCAGGACCACAGGAAGCGAGAGGGTGTGTGCTCCTCCGCGTAAATCTGAATCTCGGCCAGAACATTCATTTGTTACCGAGTCAGAGTTTAAAACTGTCACGGACTGGGAACCTGCTACAAAACTATCGTCGGTCCCCTTAGAAATGGGGATATATCGTTTATCTGCAGAATGTAAGTTGTAACTTCTCAAACCAACCTGACTAATCCTGTTAGGGCTGCAGGAGAAAGTAAAAAACCCAGTTATGTTTGAGTATCAGATCAACTACAAATAATTATGTATAGGTATGTCACAAAATGACTCGTGTACTTTAACTTATAAGATTTCTTTCTTCTTATTTGCTAAATCTGGTCACCCTACTAGAGATAGAAAGGAGAGTGGATGAAGGGAGGCAGAGCTGGCTGGTGGGGCAAAGACAGAATATCCATGCCGGTGCCACAAGACCTGAGGCAGGCAAGGCAGGCTGCAACTTGGTGCTCAAAGGGTGATTGTTCACTCAGGCCATGGCCACCCAAAGCCAAGGTGCAGAGAGAGAGAAAGAGAAAGAGCAGGTGAAGTTTGTGTGTCATCACCTTCCACCTTCAGGGCGACCTGGTGTTTTCCAACCAGCCCACTCTACTTCATGTCTACCCTGAGAGCCTTCTCTCAAGGCGGGCAGTGCTTCCGCAAAGTCCCCCTGAAGGCAGCCGTCCTTGTGTGGAAGGAGCCTCGTGTCCTCTTGGATTCTGCCAACAGCTCAGCAATTGGGTAACATTTTTACAGGGCTGTCCACGCCTCAGCTATGTCCCTATATAGGGACAGTCATGGCCCTACAATAGCAACCAGGCTGTAGTAGTTCCCCAAAACAGAACCCTGAAATACATGAAGCAAAAACTGAGAGAAATGAAGGGAGAACTAGACAATTCAAAAATAACAGTTGAGACCTCAACTCCCCACTTTCCATAATCGATAGAACCACTAAGCAAACAATCAACAAAGAAACAGAAGAACTGGACAAAACTATACACTAACTCAACCTGACAGATGCAGAACAGCCCACCCAGACCCAGCCAAACACACCTCCCCCAAGGGCACATGGAGTACATTCCACCCAGAGAAGAAGTTATGCTTGGCCATAAACAAGCCTTGATAAATTTAAAAGGATGGAAACCATACCAGTGTATCCTCCAAACACAAGGGAATAGCATTAGAAATCAACGAAGAAAGAACATTTGAAAAATTCACAACCATGTAAAAGTCAAACAACACATTCCTAAACCACAAGGCAAATGACGAAAAACTTGAGAGGAACTAAAGAACACCAAAAAATACCAAACCTCAGGGGATGCAGTTAACGCAGGGCTTAGAGGGAAATGAATAGTATATATGCCCATAATAAAAAAGGAAGAAATTTAAAATCAATTGTCTAACCTTCCACTTTAAGAAACAAGAACAACAACAAAAAGAGAAAACTAAGCAAATAGAAGAAAGAAAGCAAAGATTAAGGCAGAAATGAGTGAAGTTGAGAACAGAAAAACTCACAAAGACAAAAGTTGGTACTCCGCTAAGATAATAAAATTGACAAATCTTCAGCTAGACTGACCAAGAAAAAAAAAAAGAGGGAAACCTCAAATTATTAAAAGCTGGAATGAAAAAGAGGCAACCGCTTCTAGCCTCAATAAGGGGAAAAGATTATAATTTGAATATTATGAACAAATGTATACCAACAAATCAGATAGCCCAAAGGAAATGGACAAATTCCTAGAAACACATAAACTACCAAAAGTGACTCAAGAAGAAACAGAAAATCTGAACAGATCCATACCAAGTAAAAAGATTGTGTAAGTAATCAAAAAACTTCCTACACAAAAAAAAGCTCAGGACCAGATGTCTTCTCTGGTGATTTCTACCAAATATTTAAAGAATGAACAGCGATCCTTCACAAACTCTGCCAAGAAATAGAAAAGGAGGAACACCTCCCAACTCATTCTACAAGACCGGGTGTCATCCTGATACCGAAACCAGAAGAAGCCAATACAAGGAAACTACAGCCCAGTATCTCTTGTGAATACAGACACGATTACACAGTGGTGATGGTTTCACAACTCTTCGAGGAAAAACCACTGAATTGTACACTTTAAATGGGTGAATATTATGGTATGTGAAAAATATCTCCAGAAAAAGCTGTTAAAAAATAGCCCTGGTGAGGATTTTGTAGACACAAGGACCTGACACTTACCAGTACTTGGGAGGTTTACAAAGCTGGGCAAGAACTTAGCAAGGCTGGGGGTGGCGGGGAGAGGGGCAGGCTACTTTAAATATTTGAAGAGCGCATGTTTTCACTCTTCAAAGCAGGAGCAGCAGTTAGGTAACAGTGGGAGGCAACAAGAGCAGGGAGGCTAATTCCATTTGGTATTAAAATATCTGGTTGTTGCCCGGCTGGCGTGGCTCAGTGGTTGAGCATCAACCTATAAACCAGGAGCTCACAGTTCAATTTCCGGTCGGGGCATATGCCCTGGTTGCGGGCTTGACCTCCAATGTGGGGCATGCAGGAGGCAGCCGATTAATGATTCTTTCTCATCACTGATGTTTATATCTTTCTCTCCCCCTCTCCCTTCCTCTCTGAAATCAATTAAAATATATTTTTTTAAAAAACAACACCACCAATATCTGGTTGTCAACACAAAATTCTTTAGAAGTCACTTCCTTACAGTGAGTGGGTGTAAATGGCCCATCAGGTTGACATGATTTTCACTAATAAGACCAGAGATGTATGAGACGAAGAACAATTTGTGACCCTACTGTGTGATAAAGCACCAGGCAGAACACATGCCCGTTTTCAGCAGACAATCCACATGTGCTCACTGCCTGTTCCCACACGCAATGTCTCTCCGGACACAGAGGGTCTGAGCAGTGCTGTGGCTTCAGCCTCCCAGGCTTGGCCTCGGCTCGGCCGCTCACTCGGGGCTGAGCCTGCAGTGCTGGTGTGGGGTTCAGTGGGGAGTCGGCAAAGGCCCTGGGCCGGGGCACTTGGGAAACAAACAGCTGGGTTACTTTCCATGTTTATAAAACTAACAGAACAGAGTTTACATCTTGGCATGGAATCACTGCAGGATGGCTAACCTCTATTTTACACCAGTTGAGGTGGTGGTTAAAATGGGTGAAGACTTGCAAGGCCCTGTAAGGCCCAGGTTTCCCCCAGGGACCACGGGTTAAGGTGCTACTAGTACTTCCATGGCCACCAGCCCAGGAAGAGCCAGGATGACGAGTACCTGGCTTCCTGAACTCCTGGTCACAATCCAGTCCTACCTTAGGGATGCATTTTTGAACCTTAAAAATTAATTCTCCCTGGCCTCACAGATCCCTCTGGCTGGCCCCGGCCATGCACAGGAAGGAGGCAGGCTCTGGGGCGGGCAGGGGCACAGTGAGCCGGGAGGAGGACAGGACTCTCAACGGAGGTGCTGGAGGGAGAAAAAGTGAGGGAGACCCACAGGGCACCAAATGGCACTTCCCTCAATCCTGCAGGTTTGTTTACCTGAATGTTGCAGACGCTGAACGGGGAGTAGCCATCAAAGCCCAGGACCCAGGAGATCAGGACACCGTGCGAGCTCCTGTTGTGGATGCTGACTTCAGCTGGTGGGGAGGGAAGGACTACATGAAAAAGACACACAGAGACGCAATTAGAGGCCACGGGAGGCCAAGTGACCAGACACATCAATACCACACCAGTTCCCATTTCTTACGATTAGAAAAATTAAACACAAGTTTCAAAGAGGAGCCGCAGTATGCCTGAGGCTGACTGCGTGAGCCTGCAGACAGGCCTTCCGGGGACGGGGTGCTCTGCCTGGCCACGGAAGGGGGCCCCAGCATGCTTCCCTGCCCATTGAAGAAGGGAATGCTTTCAGCTGGGAAAGGATGTGCAGAGGCACCGCTCCTTTACTGCCCACGGTCCTACCGTGAGCAGGCACCTTGCTGGGTAATAAATGGGAAGAAGAGACACAGCCCTGTCCTAGTGGGGTTCTTGCCTGAGTGGGGGAGACCCATGTGAGCAGAGGCTAAGAGGGCCCGGTGTGGAGAAGAAAGGGGTACCACAGTGTATGGGGTGCATGTGTGTGTACAGGGGTAGAAATTTCCAGGCCAAGGAAGCAGGTGAGAGTCAGTTCAAGCAAAAGAACCTATTGCCGGTGCTCTGTGTGTGTGTGGGGGGGGAGGGGGGGCGGAGAGGCCATAATGAGCGTGCAATGTCCTCAGCGACATGTGAGACGTGGACAGGTGTTTCAATCAGAATCTAAAAAGAATCTGAAGTTTGGGGGAAGGGTCTTATTTTCTTGTGCTAAATTTAACTCTTAACAGTAATAATCACACATAATAAAACATGGTGACTGGCGATGCTGTGTGCTTACGATGTGCCCCCCGTTATGGCCTCCACCTCATTTCCTTATTAGAGCCCTATCGGAGGGGTTGTCTTATCCTCCCCATTACAGATGAGGAAACTGAGGATCAGAGAAGTTAAAACCAGCCGGAGGCCACGAGCAGGGGAACGGAAACTTGAACTCGGGTCTGCCTGACCCCAGAGCTCCTGTCGCTCAACAGGACACGGGCGGCTGGTTGAGGAGGCAGCGAGCAGCCCAGTGTGAGCACGGGCAGGGGCTGGGTGCCTTATCGCCACTTGGCCTGCGATGTGGCCCCTGGCACAGTGGCAAGCCTTCAGTTCCCTCTTCTGTTAATGGGACAGTACCAGCCCTGCTCCAGGGGGTGGTGGTGAGGACTAAATGAGGTGACACAGGTGGGTGAGGTGTGGGGGGGGCGTGGAGGTGGGGAAGCGAGGACAGGATGGGCAGGAGGGCTGGGCCACGTTAGGCACACACAGGGTGCCACGTCAGGAGTTCCAGCTTTACCAGCAGACACGCAGCGTGCTGAGGGGGTGGGGGGTCGGGGAGGAAGAGAAGCATTCTGTTTGACGCCCCTAAATAGAGCGGTTGCAGAACTGCCCTAGAATGCTGCCCTCTCCACATCAGAATCAGACCTCGGATGCTACAGTTAACAACAGACTGGAAGAAGGGAGGCTTGGTTTCACATAAATTTTTAAATATATAAGAGCCAAAAGCCTAAGTTTTGGAAACAGGATTTATTTATCTTTACATCTTAGCTGAGAGTCTGTATGAAGCAAAAGCTAAAGAAGTACTTCACCTTTTATGTATTTTTAATTTTTAAGATGTTATACTGATGACAATGACTTTATAAATGCATGCCCACGCGTGAATCTTTGAAATTGCCCACACGTCCTTTGCAAAATGGTAATAATGGCCTTCGGGCCGGAGGAAGGAAGTTGCCCATCCCTCGGCGCCCACACAGGCTGCGCTCAGGGTTTCCGGTGAACTTTCTGAAAAGGCCCCTCATTAAGAACAAACACTGAAACCCCAAACCTGCCCGAGTTTCTGAGAGGGCGGGTGAGGAAGGTGATTTGAAGAGGGATAAACAGACAGTTTGTACGTTTTTGTGACTAGGTTTTAGGTTTTCCTCCCGTTTTCGGTTTCAGATTTAAACACCTTTGATCCCACAGAAAAAGGAGGACGAGGCAGTGGATTGGACTGGAATGTCTCCGCCAGCCGGGGCCTTCCATTACCTCATGTCCCCGCTTAGCGGAAGCAAAGGGATGGGAGGTGAGGAGAGAAAGACAGGAGGCTGGGCCGGGAGAGTGACCCTGGCTTGCTCTTCGCCTGCCTCGGGGCAGCAGCTGGAGGACTGCTTCACCCCAGCTGCCCTGGGAGGGGCGGAGCCCATTCCTGGACCAAGGACCGCAGCTGCCCCACCCAGGCTCCCTTCAGGGCTAATGGGAACTAGTTCAGGCTGGAAGAGGGAAGTGGAGATGGGCAAGATGGTCATGGTGAACATTTCAGCCTATTTTCTTTCCAGACCCCGCAGAACTAAACTGGCAAATGTTTAGCAAACTTACGAGCCAGGCACTGTTGTGAGCACTCTGGCTGGTGTGACCTCATTTAAGCCTCCAGACCAGGTAGGTTGTGTAATGATCCCCATTTTAGAGAGGGGAACACCAGCCAGAGAGGTGGGGTGACTTGTCCAAGATCACAAAGGCAGTCAGTGGGGAACCCCGGGCTCCGGATGTCCTCCCAGCGACTGGCCCTGCTTCTCACCTTTGATGTTGACCTGAATGCCCTTGGACACGGCCAGGCCCTTGTCATTGTGGGCCTCACAGCTGAAGAACGCCGTCTCGGTCAGACCTGAAGGGGAAGGAGAGCGTGAGACCAGCCCTACGGGGGTCCGGGCATGCTGTTACTTCTTGGTTCACTGCTTCGCGTCTTAAATGCAAAGTTAATTTTTAAAATGTTCTGGTGTTTTGGGGTGGGGGGAATAAAAACACACCTGGGATTAAGCCCTGGGTACCATGAGCAACAAGGGGCCTGAAAGGCAGCTCCTCCATTCAGATCCTTTCATTTTCCCTGATGGGGAGACATTAGGTAACAAAGCCATATGCTTTCAATGTTCGGCTTTCTACGAGGAGGAGGGGCTCGCTGGTCCCAATATTAAGCAAAGTGGTTTCTGAGGTTCCCCAGACAGTCCCCTGTGGCGCAGCCACCCAGGACACCATGGACACCTCACAATTCCAGAAACAGCAGTGTAAACACCAGTTTAAAAAATTTCAGACAATCTGCTGTAACGAGTAAAGATCGGTCAACTCATAAGGAATTATTATACCACCGCGAGGCACTGTTACTACACAAAGATAACAGTGCTCAATAAAAAAGAATTTTACCATTTCCGAGGTGTGAGGACCTCTGATTCGTTAATTTTAAGTAGAAAGAAAGGGAGGCAACCTTAGTCTAATTCCATTTTCCAATAAAGGAACATGGGCTCCTTGGAAAAACGGCTGATTCTCAAGTGGGGCAAGGAACATGTCAGATGAGCCTGGGACAAAATATAACACACACACAGCACATGCACACACACACGCACACACACACAGCACATGCACACATGTGCACACACACACAGATGGGGGTACTGCAGAGACATGGGAGCAACTGAAAGCACTCCCAACGGCCACAACTGGAACAATTGGAGCAAGAAAACAAGTGAAGTGCCATTGGATTGTAACGCAAAGTATAAAACAAATGTCCATAT